TGGGAGAGGGAGAAGCAGGCTTCCCGCAGAGCAAGGAGCCCGATGTGGGGCTCGATCCCAGGACCCTGGGATCATGACCTGAGCCGAAGGCAGCTGCTTAACCGACTGAGCCACCCAGGCGCCCTAAACTCCTAGATTTCAATTGGCTAAAGAAACTTTGGGTGAAACATGAAAAACGAAAATTCACGGTTACCTCTTAGCATCAGGCAGATGGGAGGAAGAACCTCCCCACGTAGGTTTTTCAGTGAAAACATGGGCCTCAGCCAACAAGCACACATAAAGACGGGCCTTCGGCATAAGAGGGGCAGCTGGCCTCAGGCCCAGGTGTGGGTGGATGTCCCCCATGCCCCACACCCTGGGAGGAGTCGGAAGCGTCCAGCACGAAGCCCTCTTAGAATAGAAGGAAATGAGGAAATGAGGAAATGAGGAAGTATGTGTGGGGCGGAGGGAGGCAGGCTTGGGGCCTGGGGTAGTGGGGTCTGCAGGTCTCCAGGACCTGCGGGACCTGGAGTCTAGACCATTTAGTGGGGTCTGGAGTTTGGGAGGCCTAGGTCCCGGGGTTTGGGGGTCTAGAAATTCCCAGCATGTGAGGAGGTCCTGGGTTCTTTTTTTTTTTTTTTTTAAGATTTTATTTATTTATTTGACAGAGAGAGAGACAGCGAGAGAGGGAACACAAGCAGGGGGAGTGGGAGAGGGAGAAGCAGGCCTCCCGCGGAGCAGGGAGCCCGATGCGGGGCTCGATCCCAGGATCCCGGGATCACGACCTGAGCCGAAGGCAGACGCCTAACGACTGAGACACCCAGGCGCCCAAGGTCCTGGGTTCTGGAGCATGCCAGGGGTCTGATGGGCCTGGGGCTTGGGGGACCTGGGGTCTGGGCCGTGTTGCTGCTGCCCCAGCAGGTCGTGGCCAGGCTATGGGAAGCAGGGCAGCCCTGGGCTCCACTCCCTGAGGGGGACCAGAATCTTCCAGAGGGCACACCTCCATACTCCCCCTCCTCCCGCCTGACATACCCAGAGCCTAGGTCTGAAACAAGCCTGAATGTCAGGCAGGGCCAGTCTCTCAGCACAGAGACTTCCAGAGGTCCTTAGGGACACACAGAGACCTTCAGAAATCCCCAGAGATACCTAGAACAGCTCAGAATCCCCAAGACCCCAGGGTACTCAGAGACCTGTAGAGACCTTCAGAGACTCCTCCAAAATAGCCAGGAAAACACAGAGATCTCCCACAAAGACAAAGGTAGAGATATATACAGAGTTTCCCCGGGACAACCCAGACCCAGTGCCACCAATCCGTGGCCCCCTCAATTTAGCCACATTTGCCTCACACCCTCTGACCCCCACGTAGCCACCTGTGCTCGGTGAGGCCTCAGCCTGGGCCCTGCCCCCAGCATGCCCGAGACTGGGGAGCTGAAGTGGGATCAAGGGTTTGCCCTCCCCCACTATCCACCTCCCGTCCAGCTCATGGGCTCTCACACTTGTCCCGAATCTGCCCTTTCTCTCGAGCCCGGATTCTCCCTGGGGCCAGGCCCCCCAAATTCTGGCCCCAGCCCCTGTCCTGCCATTTCCATTCCCATTTGTGCAAAGTGCAGCCTTTGAATGCCAGACTTCCTTCCCCCCACACCCCTCAGGGTCTGGCTGCCCTTAGGGGCCCATCTCACCTGAGGGAGGGTGGAGGCTGCCCAGGAGGCCCAACCCAGCAGCTGAGGCTATCTAGAGGCCCGGGGATCTTAAGGTGTCTGAGGGGCTCTGGAGCCAGCAGGTCGGGACCTGGGGCAGGTGTGACAACCCAGGGCTGGGCTGGGGCAGCAGAACTGACTCAGGGTCAAACTGTGGACAGACAAGGCAACTGCAGATCAGGCATGCATCCAGCAAACAACTGGATCGGCTTGGCCACTTCACGGCTGTGTGACCCAGGGCCGGTGCCTTAATCTCTTTCCACCTCGGCTTCCTCCTCCCTAAAAGACGGACAGTGAAAACCACCCTGTGGGGCGGCTGTGAAGGGCCGAGAAGCAGATGTGAACGTGAGCGTGTGTCTGGCACGGGGGGACATGGGCGACTTAGGACGCAGGCTGAGTGTCCCATGGAGGAAGGGGAGTGTACATGAGGGCCCACCGATGCACCAAAATCGAATTCAGAAGGTTAAAGCTGGATTTTTAATGATGCGGAAAGAGCCTGTTTGAGGTCACGTGGCCACGCCGGTTATAGTAAAATTTGAGAAGTCACTGAACGCTCTTGTCGGGGGGTGGGGGAGCAAACAAAACGTGGGACCGAGGCCACTGCGGTCAGCGAGCACCGTCCACCTGCTCGCTGCTTAGCTGAGGGCCGCTCCAGCGGTGGGAGGCCACGCTGGGGGCCCACAGGGCTCTCCTGGGGACAGCCCTCGACCACAAGACGGAAGGCGAGCTGATTACAAATGCCTCTGCTCCCCACAACCTCCGGTAGGACATCTCCGAGGCAGGGCTCTGGGCTGCCTCCCCGAGGGCCCCCTGGGAAACCGGCCCCTGGGAACCTGCTGGTTGGCGCCCCCTGCAGGGCTCCTTTTCTCTCCTCGGCGGGCGGACCAGGGGCTTCCGGGAATAACCTCCCAAACAGTGAAGTTCCCCGAATCTGTTCTTCGAGCCTGCTTTTCAGGGACCCCAGATTAAGATAGGTGGAGTGACTGGGACACCTGGCTGGCTCAGTGGGTAGAGCATGCAACTCTTTTTTTTTTTTTTTTTTCGGAGAGAGAGAGCCCAAGAGCAAGTGAGGGGAGGCACAGAGGTAGAGAGAGAATCCTGATGCAGACTTCCAGACTTCACTCTGAGCACGGAGTCCAACGTGGAACTCCATCCCCAGGACCCTGAGATCATGACCTGAGCCAAAATCAAGAGCCTACCGCATAATCAATCAACTGAGCTACCCAGGTGTCCAGGAGCATGCAACTCTTGATCTTGGGGCTGTGAGTTCAAGCCCCACATTGGGTGTAGAGATTTTTTAAAATAAATAAAAAATAAACTTAAAAAAGACGTAATCTTCACAATAACCCCTTGAGATAGGAACT